GAAAACGTGCCTACATAGATTGATATTACATTAGTATTTTTTAATTCTAAACGACACAGTTCCGCTTACTTTTGAAAACGTGCCTGGCTGAGATGTTACATATAACGGTTACATGAAAACGACACATTTTCGCTTAATTTTCTGTCTGAGATGTTAAATATATATAGATGGCATGATTGGTCAATTTTTGACGCGTGCACAGATTTATTGACAAACGTTTTGTTTCTTCGAGTTTGACTTACTATTATCAATGGCTGTGCCGGTTCTCAGCCATGTTCTATAACATTAGGTGAGTATTCATAAGTCCAGCACAGCATAGATGTTGATAGCGACCATACCCTCAAAATAAAAAAGCTTTTTTATAATAGAAATAACGGTGCGGTAACGGCGAGTTTTTGCGAAAGGTAAACTTAAGCGCAGGTTCTACCTATTTATCTAAAAAGTTTCTTGTTTTCTCTCCCTTTGCAAGTTGAAGCGGACGTGACTTCGAACACCCAGAATTTGTTGACTTGAAAGGTGCGCTGATCTTCGGGTTTTGACTTTCTTCTTGTGATACCGCAACTGACTGATTCTTTTAAAGCTAGTTGATAGCCACCGAAATATCCCCATGGAGGTAGACTTCAAGAGTTTCAACGATGAGTTATACCCCTTATAATACGTAAGAGTTTTTTGGCAGTATGCCATGCAGCTAATTGTTAAGACTTCTTTTTGTGATATTGTTATTAATTTTTGAAGTGGTTGGATAAATTTTTCAACAGGATTCATTCAATTACAGAGAAAGTTGAAAAACTTGAGAAGACAAATAGAACATAGTACAGTCATCCCTCGTTTATAACCCCCCCTATTGTAACCCCCCTTGGATATATCCCAGCTTTGGGGCTGGACGGATTCCTCCTATTATATTGTCAAAAGAAACACAGAATTACGAATGTCAAGTAATTTGGCTGAATTACAACAGTTTATAATAGAAGAGTGGAATGTAATTCCAAATAATCTTCTATTAATCTTGTCAATTCAATGAAGAACAAGTGTGCACTTATAATTAATAATAATGGCGAAAGAATTTGTTATTAAACTTTATGTAAATAAAATTAGAGTTGTTTAGCTTTTTATACATTTTACCAATACTAAATAAAAATTGATATGTAAGTTGTTGAGTAATTGCTAACTTATTTTGGTCAATTTTTTTGTAACACACTGTATGCAAGTTTGTAAGGTGATAGTTACAATAGAATTTTAAACGATTGATATTATTATAAGTACTCTACTTACTATTACTTATATTTTTGTATAAATATGTAGCTTTGGCTTGCGTATGTGGGAATAACTTCTTACGATGACAAAACCATTTTGTACATGTGAGGAATATAATCCAGTGTAGATAATATTAATATACCGCAGATTCATGAGTGGTAATAAATAATTTATGTGGCTGATTAAATAATAATCAGCGAGAATTTCCGGTAATGGTTGAACCTATCCAGTAAATACTGCGACTTTAGCAGACACATTCCGAAAATCGAAACATGAAAGACACCGTTATCTCGCCTGCATATCGTCAAGCACACTTTTTCAAGGTATGGCAAACCATGGCATACACCTGTTCACGTGTTAGTGTAGGGTCAATCCTATTTAATGTCTCTTGTAATAAGTCGAAATAAATAAAAGGGCCGAACTATCAGGTATATGTAGTCATATTCAGCCGCTATTATTTTTAGGCGAGTCGGAAATTCCGTAGCTTTGCTTCTTCGGAGACGACATTGTTTGGCGTTTCAATATTCATTGCAAGCGCACTCTCAATTTTTTGAATGTATTATCAAAGTTTAAATAAAAGGTAGTTAGCGAACGGCAGAGCTTGTCCGGACTGACAACGTTTGCACCGAAAGTTTCATCGACCAGAAGGGTGTAAAAATTCATCGAAAAACTCTTACGTGTGTGTATACGTAAAAATGGCGCAAGTTGACATTCTCTGTATTTTCATGATTCAGGAAAATGTCGGTTTTTCGAGATTTTTTTGATCGGTCTAAAATAAGAATAAGGTTTATGCATTATTTGGTAGTGCCCGAACATCATGGAAGATCGTGGCGTTGCAAAAGAAACAAAACAGAAGAGATAAGAGTGCAATATTTCATTCCAAGTAACTGTACATATACATTATTATTATCTACACTAGATAGACGGAAAGAATATTGGTTTGGGGGATACAATTATTTTACAGGTTATGTTGTTGGGCTGATGTTGGGATGCTTTTTGAGTAGATCAGGCGAGATAATCATAATTAGTCAGGGTCAAGTCTGTGGTAACACTAAAGCACTGAGCACCGCCCAATACTTGTTGAAAATAAATAATGTCTTTGTGAATTTTCATTGTTTAATATTTTATCTCCCAAGCTTTCCCCCTGCGGCCGTCTCGCTCGTAACGTGTGGTTTATGCGTTGCCAATTATACCCATAATCTCAAACAATACATATTAGATACCACCTAACTTAACGACACAAGGCAGGCATGTCGTTCATGGACATGGAAGCGGGTCTGGGGCCCGGTCCTCGTGGTGCTCGTTACAACAACAATACACATACAGGAGGCGGCCCAGGTTAGAACATGACCTTCAATAACTTTTGAGCTTTCACTCTATTGTCGAATGCTCACTCGTGATTCTCGTTTGCAGACGATGATAGAGAGTATAAGGCTCTTAGTAGCAGCATATCCCAACAAGTATTTAGTATTACGAATAATGTTGCGTCGATAAATAAAATGGTCTCGCATTTGGGAACAATAAAGGATACAACAGACCTAAGAACTAAACTGTAAGGAAAATAGTCATATTACTGTCCTCGCTCTTTTCTTTTCTTTTACGTAAAAAAAAAACTTTTTTTTGTACAACTTTGTAATTGACACGAACAGACACAATCTTACGGAGTCAACGCGAGAACTCGTCAAGAACACAAGCAACGGGCTCAAGAGGCTTTCACACTTTGAGGGAAATGTTGGTCAGAGTGTAAGTTATCTTTTACTGAGCCGATCCGACGTAAATTGGTTTGTATTGTTGATTACATAACGAAATCCGATTATAGCGTCAGCGTAAACTCGAGCAACAAAAGTTATCCAAGGACTTTCAGAAAACTTTGCAAGAATTTCAGATCGCACAACGACTCTCAGCAGAGAAGCAACGAGCATATGTAGACAAAGCAAAGGCTCATAACGTCCGTAATGATGTATAGTATGTATGAATGATATTATTTACGACAAAATCGCAAATACACGTTTATGTGATTCTGCTTGCTATATATGTTCGATTAATATGTTGTTATCGTTGTTCTTTTTTTTTTGTCAAAGTACCGAGGAAGATGAAACTGGCGTTCCAGCAGAAGAACAGCCATTAATAGATGACTCCCAGCGACGTCTGCAACTTCAAGTAATTGGCAACGAACTCGAATATAATGAAGCGCTTATTGAAGAGCGTGAAGAGGAGATTCGAGGAATTGAACAGGGTATAAATGAATTAAATGAAGTATTCAGAGATTTGGCAACGCTAGTGACTGAACAGCAACATATGCTTGGTATGTTTTATATTCGGGTGTTGATAAATCGTTTTTGATGCGTACTGAAAAACTTTCTCACACGTAAAACTATCTTTCAGATAATATTGAGACCAATGTGTCGAATATTACTGACAACGTGCGCAATGCCGCCGAAGAAGTGTCAATTGCAAGTAGACATCAAAAGGGAGCACGCAATCGCATGTGCTTTTTGTTGCTTATATTTGCTGCCGTTGGAGCAGTGGTTGTATTGGCAGCTTTAGTTTAGATGCGGTGCTTTGCAGTAAGTAAAGTTATGTATTATGTATGTGATTGGACAATGAAGCGATCGGTATCCCTATTCTGTTGATGAACTATCTTGATTATTTTGAGAGTTGTGAAGCTTGGGGTATAGTCAGCAGCCGTTACCACCAAAGAATGAGATGCATCGATCGCTGTGTTTGACGGTCGGTCGTATCGATAGTACGACCGGAGTATTAGCTTAGGACGTCGGTCGTTATATACTATATACCAGCGTTATGATATTCATATCAGATATTTAATACATGTTATGCATTATACATGAAATACGTAAGCATTCGTCACTTTTTGGAATTACGATAATAAATTGATTTATGTAAACAGACGCGCGTTTTGTCAAGCAAATTGACACGAAGGTTATCGTTCTGGAAATGATTGAAGTAGTTTTTTAAATAGTATTTTCTTCTTTCACAAATAATGCCTTTTAGGATGTGGGAATTTATTGACAATACTGAATAGTGAACTGTTCATACATATGTTTATTCGGCCGCAGTTCATTTCACTGACAATTGTTTCTCTGAAAATATTTTGACACTAGTTGTTTTATTTGTCACCGTAGCGCCCGTGAAAGTTCGATCTGTCAATCTGCTCCCCAATTGTATCAACTATCAACAAAAGATATAATGATTGTCGTTTGTTCAATATAATGTTTCCATTTCATAATATTTAATACTGCTGTAGATCCTGCACGCTAGAATTTAATGAGCTGCAATAAACCCAAAGGGAACATTTTTACGCCTGATCGTGCCAGAGCGAATTATCGATCTTTTTTAATTGAAAACAAGCGCACGTGCGTTACACACAGATTGAATCATGTGTAACATACCGATCATATCCAACGAAGCCCGTGTAGTACTTTTAGTCTAATGGCGGAAGATAATGAGGAGCAAAATCCACATTCGTCAGTTAGCAGTCTTTCAGCAGCAGGAGGAAGTTTTATAACGGTGACTGAGAATGATCTTACAGACAGTTTTAGCTGGTCGTCAGCCAGTGAGAGCACGGAACTATTGAAACCTCGAGAAAAAACCGAATTTACAACGGCCGGCGACGCCTCTTCCGCTACTGCTGGGACGACTACTGTCCCTGCAACTGATACAATTCACAGCGCATCAACTACTCTGTCTCTTTCCGTGGCCGAATCTGAAGACAACTCACAGACACTTGCTCAATCGGAAACATCCTCCTCTTCGCCTTCCCTTTCAGGCTTTCTCGAGCCTCCTGATTCTCCCTCGATCGTATCAGATGATGGTAGTATACACATGGTTAGCGCAGAAACCATCTCACCAGTCATTGTATCCCCAGCATCATCATTGGAGGGCTCGCACGAGGAAGAGGATGGAGATAATGTTATTGTACATAAATCACGTAGCGAAAGTGAAAGCCAGATGGGGGAAAGTCGAGGGGAAGAAAGGTCACCACAATTTACACCAACTGTCATTACGAGGAGTTTCATACCTGGCGAAGGTAATGCGCAAGATCGTAATGACAATGTGTCGGGTTTTAGAAATGGCAGACGAGACCCTGGATCTTCTGTTCTAGAGTTGCCCGAGGCTGCTGATCCTAATACTGTCTTTAATACAAATATAGCTCATGCGGGCAATACACGTTTAACGAGATCAATACCCACAGACAAGCGTGGCAGTGTCAACATTCTATTCCAACCTCAACATCGTCAATCTCTTGTGGCTCAGCTAAATGATGGCACACACGCGAGAGAAGTCATCATGGGAATAGTTAAAGACCATATATTGAAACCATTCTTGCAAGGCTTTGCATTAGGCATGGCTGCACATCTGTATCGATATCTCAGATCTGGTAGAACTGCGGTAGCGGGTGTCTGGAAAAGAAATTTAGAAAATTCAAAGTCGACATGACAATTACAATGAGAAAAATAAGGGTGTTTTTTGTTGACGAGTTTTGTAATTATACATTGTTGGGAAATACGATTATTATATTACTCTTAATTGCGTTCCTAAATAAACAATAATACGAGTTATGCTTGATCTACTTATGCACCGCAATTTGGACAGTCGGTAATTTTAATATCCTTCAGAGTAGTAAATACAATCTGATAAACATTCACTTGTACGGAACCCAATGTGAAACTAATGAGCACGACGGGACTCGGCAATGATGGTACTGAGTTCTTCGACCTTTCTTTTGGCTCGAGTGAAAGTTCCGAGCTATCAAGCCAAGCGATAACACAATTAGTAATTCATTCAAGGATAGACGAACACCATGAACAGCAAACGAACGATTAATCGAATTGATATTAAGCGTGTGCATAGACACTGGATCACCAAATACATTTATTGATAACGATATAGCCGTCATTAACTTACCCTCTTTTTAGCCAACTTTCTAGCCCTCTTATCCTTAGAATTCTTTAACAATTCCATAACCCTACGCTCATATGGTGCGAATCCTGCTACTTCCCGAACAATGTCACGCACAAATTTAGTACGTTTACTCAGTTTCTATTACGGCGTTGAAAAGGTGGAATGTGTTAATATCATAAACATTAACTCATTTTGCGACGAATGTGATCACCCGTGTAAACAAACTACGTACACCCTTTTGCCTTGACGGTTTATCTCGCAGCTTTCTAGCTGTAGTGACATGTCCTTTATTTAAACCCACGGCGATACCTGATCTTGGTTTTGCCATATTTTTGTGAGTACGAATTAAAAGAGAGTTTTGCAGAAAAAAATTTTTTTATTTTTTTTGATAGAAAATGGTCACGTGAATTACATGATAAATGTTACGTATTAATTTACAAACAATGTTTCTGCTTATAGGCGTTGATAGCATACTGGATGGCATTTCGTTGTATTACCTCTATATTCCCAACCTTGCTCACGCCATTCTTAAACAATTTCACAATCTGTGGATAGAAATGAAGAACATTAGCAAAGCTCAGAATATTTAAAGTGTATTATTCATGTTGTTACTAACATGGTCTTGTGCAACTAAAGTTAGCACCTCTTTATATATAGGATCGTCTAAAGAGAGGCCCTCTCTCTCTCTTTTCTCATTCCATGCTTCAATGGCTTTATATGCTGCTGCTCCGGCCACAACTTCGCTGTGCAAGTTTTCTAGATCACCTGACATGGCTGCAACAAGACAAAATCAGTATTCTGTAATAACCATCACTAAGCCCAATTGTTACAAATGTATAATACATACCAATCTCATGTGCTCTATTCACAAACACCAAGTGGCTACACTTCCCTCTCGTCACTTCTACGCCGCCTTCAAAGTCATCAACTATTTTCTCTTTTATCGCCATCATGGGCTCGAATGTCCATTTTTGATTAAGATTATCACCATCTTTCTGTTTCCAAACCACAACCGAGTTATCCATGATTTCAATTACAAAGTTATCTGCGACCTTTGTGCTTATAAAATTATTACTAGTATGCCAAAGTTGAGCAGGGGGGGCTGGTGATGAGCGTCTGTCCCATTGACAAAGATATGTCCAATGAAGTCGGCGAATATAGCCTGACAAGTAGAGAACGATTAATTGACAACAAAAAAAAATGAACGATAAAGTACTATACAGCACAGACCTCCTTTGAGTTCCAAGACTTTGCCGGATGCCTTATTGACAAGAAACCCATCATCAAATGACCATAACTATGGAAATAATGTTAGCCATTCATTACGTATAACCAAATATCTCATGACGCAGTAATTACCTGACTGTCAGCATCGAGACCAAAACGCTGCTCTTTGATGACTATAGTAGCGTCATTGTTTACTGACATAAGCGTAGGCTCGAGAATGTGGTTATTCAGTTGAGACTTTATGTAGAACCAGCCTATAGGAAAACGCAATCATCGGTATTACATTCATTAATGGATATGTCTAATCCCAATCAACGCTCGTAAACTGACTGCAGCATGCTTATATTGTTTTTACCTGAAGGAAAACCATCTTCAATTATTTCGCTCTGATCGTGTTGAGTATCAATTCTCATAATTATTAGAAGTAAGTTGTAATGATAAGTTCTTTGGCTGGGTCCACCAATGCCAATTTATAGTCTTGGCATTTGTCACTCCGTAGCAGTTGTAGATGCAACACATGATGTCACAAATTAAAATGAGTTATTTCTGGTCTCGTACAGGTTTGTTCCTAGAAGAGCTAATCACGCCATTGCGAATTAACATCAGTTTGCGCAGAAACAATGCGTAGAAAATCCAACTGCGTAGAAAAAACCAAATTGGAATAATTTCATTGTCAATTTTATTTTTCGCTATGAACAGGAACTTTCGTTCACTTCAACCCGCTTGGACGGCGATTTTTTTTAATAACTAATTTGTACTGTCCACAGCCAAGTTTTACTACTTAATATTAATATCAATAGTAATGATAAAATAATCAATAATATAATGAACTGAATACATTTATAAAGTGTTGCTTATTTTCCAAAGAATACGGTAATACAACATTTTATATTTTCCTTCCAGCTTTTATATACCGCCCGACTACTGGGTTATCATCTACTTCTACCCTGCTAACTACTTCTTCCACTTCCTCTACTTCATTGTCCTTATCGATCGACAAATTCAAAAGCCACTTCCTTCTCTCCGTTTCTTCGTCCCATCCTTCTCCGTTTCCGTTGTTATTCGCTTGATTGCGCGGTCCCGCCAGGAGTGGTAGGAGTTGTGGGAGTGTTTCTCTTCCAATTCTCGATAAATTACATCCCCACCTAAACTCCTACCCTCCCTCCCCCATTCTGACATCCAATCTTCAAGGATTTTGTCTACTGTAGGGGGTGTGTTTCGGACTTGGGAAGCTGAAAGCAACAAAATGCCGTCAGTAACGGAAAATGAAAAAAAGAGTTCCAACTATAGTAAATAATGTTAACGTAAATCCTAATAAATCAATATTGTTAAAGAAAACCGTATTACAATATTTCTTTCTGATTGAGTTCATGATCTGATCGCAAAGAAAAACATTTACTGTACTATGGAAACTGGGATAGCAACAGTCTCCCAATAAATTCCTAACAAGAAAACTATACCACTATGTCTATTAAACACACTACCCCTACCATATGTACTCTACGTCCCCAACGCCCGAGTCACAAAGTCAGTACCTGGTTGAGAAGCTGCAGTAACGCATCCTCCCACTTCTTTTTTTGCCCCTAATCTCGCGCCTTTCCTCAGCGCCTCCAACCTGTTCAGAGTATCGTTAGCTCGCATGTAAGTGTTTGACGAAGTGATGGTGAGGACACCAATATAAATAGTATACACGTGTTATTAGAAACTTTCCCACAATGCAGAATATGACCAATGATAATTAATGCGCAAAAATATTGATTACGCGTTTGGTTAGAATATCGTGACTCAAAAAAGGTTTGTAGGTCTCTGCACTACGCACAGGAACTTTAAATATCTTCGTGTTTTCTGTCTCAAGCAGTAAAGGCTCATGCAAAGCGTCTTTTTTACAGTTTTGGAGCTAGCATAAGATTTATTCTCTACAACTAAGCTTGTAAATATTGCTACTCATTACTCGCTTATGCAAATGCTATATATAATACTGTCTATTTGAGTATCTCACGTGACAATATTACGACTGTTTTTTAAACTACCCGTTTTAATTTAGATACTGTACTACGGCTTTCACCTGATTAAGAATTTTATATTAGGCTATTATAACGTAGCCTCCCCCAACCTTGAGTCGCTGATTATATTATATGCTGCTCTTCGCCGTTTATAAACACTTACCACGTTGAGGTGGCAGCATATCAAGTGGGCTATCCTAAGCAGAATCGATCATCTCAGTGATCAACCCATTCAGGACTACAAAAATTATGCGATATTGCAATTGTATTCGATAATAGCCTAGCCCGTAGGACGGAGCATCCTAACCCGTAGGACGGAGCATTCTAACCCGTAGGACGGAGCATTCTAACCCGTAGGACGAAGCATCCTAACCCGTAGAACGGAGCATCCTAGCCCGTAGGACGGAGCATCCTAACCAGTAGGAGTAAGACAACTGTTTGTCAGCATGCAGAGGGGAGCTCAAGTATTTATACGTGTTGCGAAGATGTCCTGAAATATGGGACGAGGGATCTCCGATTGGACCACATGTAATATATGTACTGTATATACATTCCCTATTTTACATCAAAACTTGTTTATGCTGCGGCGTCCAGAAATATTACGTACCTGTAATTTGGACGCGTATGTAAACAGTCACCCCATTTCAGTTACAGTTTCCATATTTTTTTTCTCTCTTATTGATATGTAATAATATGTACAGTATATACATCACTTGTTTATGCTGCGGCGTTCAGAGATATTACATTACCTGTAATTTGGACGCGTATGTAAACAGTCACCCCCTCACTCACTCACTATAGTTTGAATCTTTTATTTCAAACTAATATACAATATCCAAGATGACAAGTTACGTCGTGCAGGACGAGAATTTGAAAACACCATTAAAAATCTTCTAAGGAGTGTGTGTCGAGCTTCGTCGCGATGAGTGAGTATTTCACTGAGTAATTTGTTAAATTGTTACTGTATCCGAAGGTATGTTACCATTAGGTGTAAAATGTCGGAGAATTGAAAGCACTTTGTGGCCACAGCTTGTAAGTTATAGTATTAAGTAACTATTTAATGAGGTATCTGAAGGTACTAGGTGTAAATCATAGCTCGGTTACCGAAAAACCGTCTGAAACAGCACTGAGTCTGTGGTGAATAGAATATCTTTAAAATTTACTTAGTTCTTGATATAGTAACTACTTGTTGTGAACGTTTCGATTTCTCCGTTGCCGAAAAGCCGTCTGGAACAGCACCGGGTTGTGGTGAATAGGATACATTGACCGTTCAATGGTCTTGACTATGATAATGTATTTACTCAATTTAAGCGGGTGGTTTAGAGAGTATTTTATAAAGATTCAGTGCGAGGTCTTATCTAATATCTGCGCCATTTATTTCAAATAGATATTTTAGAAATTAAAATTTTATCTATATTATAGGGAGAAAGTATGCAGATGAGGAGATGAGCAGTAAAGTAAAACTGTTTAAACTTTATACACTCACCACCAAAAAGTATTTTCTGGATTTTGCTGAATTAATAGTAAAACATGAAAAATTTATTATTTGTATTTACTATTACTTATACTATGCAAGTAACAATAAATTTTGTGCCGATTTGAAGCTAATTGATTGTACTTTTCGAAAAAAGTAACACATTTTTCATATGAATACATGTGCGTAACATACATATCGCTACTTACTGAAACACAGCTTTATTACATTTAGTTGATATTGATTAAACTCATTAATATGTTTCGAAAGTATAGTCAATTAGCTTTCGAATCATATTATTTAGTAGATATAGTCAATAGAGATTTTCGAAAAATCGAATTACTATTACTATTATAATTAATCGTTTTTTGATAGTCCGTGTATAAAAATTGTAGGTGTAAAAATGTTAGAAATACAATATTAATATGCTGATAAATAATTTAAAAAGACCTATTTTATGCAGAGAAAGGTGTGAAAGGCTATTATTATTATTATTTATTATATCTTTGCTCAACTAACTTGGAAAAATAATATACAATTGATCTTCATCTTTGGTCTCTCAATCTGAGTTCAAAATTCTGGTTTATAATTTCTTCAAGATTAATCAAATTGATTTCAGGAAATGTTAACTTTTTAATACTAAAAGATAATCTTAAATTAAATTTATCCCCCACATTATTATACAAAATAAAAAAAGAATACTGTACAAGTTGACTTGACAAATGCCACTGAATTTAGTATTATTACAAATATCAACAAATACTAGTTATAATATCACAGTTGCACAAATTTCCAATTGTAAAGTATTTTAGTAGTTGTTCTATTATTTTATGTCTCATCTTGTAAATAATTGTTATTAATTGTGATTGCTCAGCACATCCATGATGTAAAGTCAACCCTCACATTAACATCAGCCCCTCACTGATATATGATAGCAATAATAATAATTAATTGTATGTCACTTGATATTGACTGATAGAACACACTTGACTGGAATCCCAGGCATATTGTGCCAACTCCATATATTCATGTAACAACAATTCTTTCCACTAGATTCTGTATTCAACTGTTAACCCTCGCCTTCCCAAATGAAAGCTTTGGTTTTAATACACGTTTGATGTGATAGTGATTATGATAAAATCATAATCAACCATTGATGGCTGTAATATTAATATGTAAATGATAATTATGCCCATCCAAAGTAAAACAGGTAGCATTACAATTACAAACTCAAGCTTTCCAATTCATACATTAGTGAAGAAATGTCAGAAACATACCAAATTCCTTATCTGATGTATGATGCACTTGATCCATGAAAAAAAAGTTGAAATAACTTGTTCATAATGATCTGTGAGTCATGACTTTACACTGTGACTTTCACCCATGTGGAGAGAATTTGCAGAAATCAATCTATGATCAATGACCAAGTACTTGAGCTTATGAAAAAAAAAGGTAATTGCTGCTTGATGATCTGAATGTTCTTCATATTATAGATATCCTGATCAGTCATTAAACTTCAAATTTCAGAAATTCCAATAAATAAATTAGAATAAGATGACAAAGACTATGCAGACTTTGTCCTATTCAAAGTTAGAATTATGCCAACACATACTGCCAGTTTTGTGTCTGATAAAATGTCATGTTGACACAATGTTTGAAAACAAAAAAGATTGTCTATTGTAGATTTCTTTTGAAATAAAACACAAAAAAAACTCAGTAATATCAATTATTGAATACATTAGGCTCAAAAAGTAAATTCAAGTGTATGTGAATCATGCCAAAAAAGTACAAAGCCCTATGAGTTGCAACATAAAATTGCTAGCATACATTTGACAACAATGGGAAGTTCATCTACAATTTTTGTCCCAATTATTTGTTACTTGCTACTGCTATTGTTAAGACCACCTTCTTGCCCACCTCTCCCTGTTATTCTTGGATCACGAGATACACTGCTTGGCATTCTTTGCTGCTGCTGTTGTTGTTGTTGTTGTTGCTGTTGTTGTTGTTGTTGTTGTTGCTGCTGCTGCTGCTGTTGCTGATACTGTTGACGCAGCTGTTGTTCAATCTGATTACTCAAGTGACTAAAAAATTGAGCATATTCACTCATTTGTTCAGCAGTCAGACTACTATTTGTTACACTGGCCACCATCATGTCCAAAGTTGGTTTGGCTGGAAGTGACGTGGGATTCGTTTCTCCCATTAAAGTATCAGCGTTAAGTGGTGGTGCAGCTGTCATTGGGACAATGCTGTCAACATCCATACTGGATATTCCCAATGACCTTTTCCGTTGCAGTGATTCCGGCCGTTTCGAAGTCAATACTAACTTCATGAGCTGCATAGCTTCCTGTAAATAATGAATTCTCAGGGTTTCATATTGAGATCTCTGTTCCATTCTTGTTATTGAATATATTCTCCTAAACAAACTATACAAATCATCAATACTCAGTGTACTCTTTTCTGGAGGGATTGGCATCATTATGTTCAACGCCCGCTCTACATCCTCCTCTTTCCCAATCACTCCGCGTTCATCCACTATTCCATGGTCTTTTAGATCTATTTCATGTCCTTCTCTCAATATGCGGTTAACTGTTCCTGACAATACTGTTGTCTGTAATGGAAATTGTCCTACATGATCTTCATTTACATATTCCAAATCTATACAACGTTGAAATAACTCTCGTAACTGACGGAGCTCTTCGTTGTGCCTAAGTGACATGCGTTGAAGTTGTTTGATGTGATTGGCTTCAAGGTAACGTAGGCGTTTTTCATTAAATGCTTCTACTTCATCCCCACGTGGTGGATCAAGAAGATTGTCATCAGCGGGATCCGGATATTCTTCAATCACATCCCAAAACAATGCTTCCATCCTCATAGAATATCTTCTCCAGTGAGCTCTGTATAGGCGTTTTTGAAAATACGAATGAACCAAAGTTAGTGGATAAACATTCTGTCGTTAATGTGCCAGGCTGGAAAATTTTCCCGTCAGGACGAATGTTCTGATAGACACAAGTTTAATGTTATTACTTTCGCTTTGGAAGATGCAACTGGCTGGCCCAAGAGCGTATAAACACCAGATTACGCTTGCCGTTTACATTCAACCAAAGCAAATTGGTATTCGAGTTCCAACGATCTTACACAATAAGTGGACACATACGTATTTTCTCACTATTTTTCCGAGAGACTAGAGTCTGGTGGCCGACAGTGAAAGGACGTCTAGCAACACTTTTTATGTTGTGGATATCTATTAGTACACACTATGGGGTACAAAGAACGGCGTACAGTCAGGTGACTTAGGGTCAAAGAGACAAACAGTCAAAGGTTGTGTGTTGAATGGAAACAACTAGACGCAAGTCAGAGAAATGGAATTAAGCTCACGATAACTGACCTATATCAGCTGATGTTCATAGTCTTGTGTGAAAATAATATATTCTTCCAAGATAAGACACAAAATCAAGATACATGAACCGAAGTGTCGCGAAAGCGTCAAATATGAAAGCTAACAACAAGTTCAGAAGCAAAAATTGAATTTCCTAATATTAAATACGCATTATATGTGACGAACCCGTTATGATTTAAAAGTTAGATTGATACTACGTTTATTTCATCTCATACGTAAATTCCATTATCGTTATCGTATTGCATATATTGTATTGGTTTTGATGTTCGTACAGCTGTATCCTTAGGCGTATCTAACGTTACTTTAGCAAGAATATAATCTGGGTCGTGATTCTCTGAGTACTTTTGCATCCTTGCATCATTACTAATTGCAGGCTTATTATATATTGTTTGCACAACGTTAGGCATTAACACGCAATGTCAATTGTTAACACAAATAATCACTTGGTATTAATTCTTGAAAGAAAACATACTGTAATCAGTCGTGTTTGTTGTATCATTTGTCTCTGTAATATTGAGCAGAAGAGTGTTTAGATAAAAAATGACTCATAAAGCTCAAATGTAAGCTTAGTCGACTATTGCTCAACTTTTGACTTAGTGGTCCTTTATTTGGCACAGCTACGGTGACCGCTACAGCTGTTCAACTTCTGAATACAAGTACAATTTCAGAAGAATATTAAGATAGTCTGTAGTCGTTCTGGCTTTTTCCACAAAAATTGCTTTAAACTGCATTCTAGCCTTCTTGCTTTGAATGGTTTCACTCGCTCACCGTATTAAAGTTAAACCCTCCGTTCTCTCTCAAATATAAACTTGGCGTATTGTCACCCAGATATTCTTCACAGTCTGACCTCCCTCCCTCCCTCCTCTTTTATAGGATTGTCTTATGTCCTAGGACTACACTTTTATGCAATTGTCTTGTCGTTACCATAGATTACATTGGTTTGTAAACTAAACCGTTTGAAATAAACTCAATTAACAGAAGCAAATTATGCATTAGTAACAATATATTGTTTACATGTATTTACGCAGATATCACTTTTAAACTTTTCTTGCAAGTACAGCTGCGATGAATGAGCATAGTAACAATTGATTAAATTACTGACTGCCGGAACGCGTGAAATGTAAATTCAGAATCGACTGTACAATGTATGCTTTTTTTTTAAATAAACACCTTTGTTGTTATTGAACTTGTATGCATACTAGTATTTCGTATGTCCAAAAAACACCGTCAGTTTGATTAAAGACTTGTAAAGAATTTCACCATTTTAAGCCAACACCTATTTCTAGGTTATTTATTATTTCTCAAGTTACGACAGACATGTCGATGATAAATCAAAGTTTTTTGCGCAAGTTCTACGTAGTCGACGAGAATAGGGGGGAGGAGTATTCATGGTAATCTTTACGTTCTCTTATTTCACAGAAAATTTTATTTATTCATTTTTTGCTCATCGATAATAGTGGCGGGTTTTTATGCAATAGAACATAACGCATTACTATGCTGTTTGGTGTTTGTAGTATTAAAAGCCTTTCTTTGTAAAACGCTCATTTGCATGTATATTTTGTAAAGCATACAGTCTACGTAAATCCGCGCTATCTAAATCTCATTCTGTTCTTAGCAGATCAGAGATCCACAAATTTGTTTCACTGACATGATATTAAATATTCAACAGATAATGCGTTCGTTCTACTCACGTCAAGATGATAAACAATTTTTCATTTCCTTGCGTTATCAGCTGTCCGTCTAACAAACACTCATGTGGTTTATCCAAGGCCATCTATTTTCCAAGATACGCATTAAACAGTGGGATAATTTGTTAGCGTGGGAGTGATCTGTATGCACCGCATACTTTAAGGCCATAACAGTACGCCAATATGAGTTGGCTTTTCTTTCTAAATAACAGGATTGCATCAACACATGAAACTGTAAACGTGTAATGCTTATTTGTTATTATCCGTGTGCATATCTTTTAACCGCAATTAATTAATTCATGTGTATATTGTATATCTGTACGGTCGTGCATAAAGGCGTCATCTTGTGCTAATTCGGAGTTTTTGCCCCGAAACTGTATGCCGTGTTCTTCGGTTTAAAAAAAAACACTTCTTTTTTTCAATCTTTGTTTATTGCTTAAGTACCAATTAAATGTATCACATTCTCGAGCTAATTTTTTCCAGTGTCATGTCAAATTGAATGTGTCTATTATATACAAGGAACGACTGCTTGGCAGATCGTACACATTAATTGTGGCGGATTAAAACAAAACAAAATTTTGGGGTCTTTTGGGTTTCCTTTTTCCTTTTAACGCCTTGAAACCCACATATACTCTTTTACCAACAAATGGTATCCTAAATCCTAACCCAAATTCCCAAAAAATGGTCCCCCAAAAAATTTTATAATTTTCATACTAAAATAGAAAAAATTTCGTTTTAATCTGATTTCGTTTTAATCTGTCACATTAATTAAAATTTCGAATGGCAAAAGTATTCTCATTGACAGATCGCAGGGCTTTGAAGCTCGCACCCGATCCTATAAGCAGTGGTCAATCTATTAAAAAGAACTACCGTGACGTGTCCTTATAACCTATACAAATGTTCGAAATTGGCACTTGATATTTAGAATGTTAGTCTTAGCGTCGTTGGATAAAGGATACACGTTACCGTAATATAGATCATTCGTGTTTGCTACTGAAACTCTGTGGAGTTCATATCAACTTTTAATCATAACGAGCTTCGACTGTATATTGTTATATAATATTAGTTAGTTTGTTCATTCATTGTTTCAAATGTTGTTGCACTAACTAGCCTTTCTCGCACGCTAACACGGATTGTTGGCGTGCTATTTGACGTCAAAAATCATTCTTATATTCCGCTTGACGTAGTGGGCTGATTTTGTAATATGAATTTATGCAACTGTACGGGGTTTGTAAATCGCATGTGCTTACCGGAACAATCCATTGCAGAATAAGGAGAATGTATTTATTCGACCGATCACGACGTTTAATAGTACACGAGGGCTCGGGCTCTGGAATCACGTGCCATGGAACAACAATAAGCTTAAAATTGGTATTATCAGTGTGGTATATTTGTGCCGTAAACTTTGTCATCTAATACAATCCATTAGTAACATAAAAAAATAAAAAAGAACGTGCACAAAAGACTAACTTTATTGAATAATATCACTTAATACGGAAATATGTAAATAAACGATGTCTTAAACGGACTAGACCGACCTTGTGAGAACAATTTCGAACATGTCAACATTGATCGCATGATTGACAGTCTTATAATCATGTTGTGTAATTGTTAAAGAGGATTAGTCAATCTATTTGCCTGGCAACTTATTGTGATTATTGTACAATAATCAATAAACGACCCTGCCCTGCCATACATATTACATAAACCGGGAGTATGTAGGAAAACGATGTGTTGATTAGTTATATAAAAGTTGTTAATGTCTATCTCCAACAAAAGTTTCTCTAATACATGATTAACTGAGCTTTACTATAATGTGAAATGGTATGGATATACAATAACTAGAGCTTGAACACACTATTTATATTGTTAATTAGTACGCTATTGACAAGAGGGCGAATATGCAATTATTTACTTTATTTGTTGGCTAATGGGCTGTAAATTGTTCAACAATCAAAGCCATGAGAAAGCCTATAATAACAAGTTCGGAAGATTACTCTTGTCCGTATTGGAAAGTATTCACAGAAAAGTCCTTATATTTACTGTTAAATGTAAAATATTATTTACAACCTGTATGTAATATATGTATTTTATTATATACAAACAATAAACTCTAACATGACATCTTTGACATGAAAATCACAGTTTTAGTTTGTTGACCGTTTCCATTTGTAATCAATCAAAACTGTCAGACATTATCCCACACAAAAGTATTGCTATTTACATTCTTTCAATATTTGTGGAATACTAACTACAACAGCGAGGGTTATCAGTGTAGATTTTGCAGGTTGGTCAAAGTCACAAGCAACTTCAAAATCAATTTTGTGTTAATCACTCAAGTTTTTGTCTTTATGTAGAAATGATACTATTATTATTGTATTTATTTAAAATATAAAAATACATGCGAGTTTATAAATTATAGGCTACTAAGATATTTAATTATACAAGATTCTAACAGACACATCAACAATCAAGTTGTCTCACTATCAATCCGAATTCCAACTAATCAGCAATGAAAAAAAGTTCTGAAAGGATTATCGGTTTCTCGAGTTGAGTTTTCAAATCTTAGAGCTGTTGCAAATTCGGCTTGTTTCACCATTTTCTGACGCCGAACCGTTCACAAGACTCGTTCTTGTTCGTCCCGGCACTGGTTCACCCACAGTTGAATCAATCTCGCCAATATGAAATTCGAATTTCCTATCGGTTGTCTGCCATTTCTGTATAAACTCGTTGTAAAGTGTTCGCTCAACAAATACCACTCGATCGTTATGATCTACTAGAATGACAGTACTCGTACGTGTCGCATAGAGGTTACCTATGTCGACTACCGGAACGCGAATAGTTGATTTGATTTCTTCGATTTTGTCTAATGATGTCGGGTGAGGCGCAGAGATCGGGACGGTTGTGCTGCAAAGAAAGGGGGAAAAAAACCATGTTGATACTATATGTGATCATAATTTATCATTGTAGAGACAGTGACATCATTCATACCTCAACAAGTCAAATAATTTCTCGATCAAATCTTCTTCCGAGGTAAACTCGCTTAATAGCCGTTCCATACTCCTCCTACCAGTCCTGACTTTGGGCCATGGGTTGCCAAGCACTGAATTGGACAACCCATAGATCTCTTTCTCGTCCAGAACGGCGACATCTTGATTCTCTCTGTTCGCATAATAAAAAATTTTTGGCTTACTCACTCCCAGATCAGCCGCAATTAAATTAAAACCTCCATACAGATCGTCATTCTTTTTCAAATACTCCATATATTGTTCTATGTCGATGTTCGATTCGAGAATTTCTCGAACTAAAAGACCGCGGGATAAAAACGCTTCTGGATTCGGAGGGAGCGGCTCACGGTAGTTCGTCAGTGCAGCAAAACGTCCTGATGAGGATATCCCTAGCCATGTTCCGTGATCTGTGCGAAATAAATCCACGCCAGAAAGGATCGTGGGATGCCACCATTCTGCAAGGGAAGTTGGGCGATTGAGGTATTCATCGCGATTGGCCGCAAAGATACTATTTGCATTATGAAGCGACAAAATAGGCAAGCGCATTAAAATTTAAGAGTAGCCGAAAAAGGTGATTGTTAATGTGCTCATACTCACAATTTGTACTGTGGATGGCGACCTTGAGTCCAAAATAGGATGCACATGTTTTTTTTTTGTATGCAGATGCAAAAGATGTAAAATAAATTATAGTCAACAACTTATTAGCTAACAGCTGAATATGGCCGTACGAGTATTAATACTTTTTTATCCCCTAAGCGCCTTTTTCCGGTTGTAGCTTGTTCAGTATTGCCCAGATATCAGATGATTCTTGCATGTTATAGTCACGCCGTTATTATAGATCTATTTATACGCACATCAAATTAAGGGCATAGGGCTATAAGTCAGATATTGGCACCAACGCTAGAACTCCCATACCATGTGGGAAAAGGATCCCGTATTGTCCTAAGGTCCGATGATGGGGTGATGGGGTGATGTAATTAAAGTGCCGATCATCGTACAACAAATCGTGTGACATGCTTTCACATGAAAATGATCAAATTGAGTTATTTTGGGGAACAATTTCCACTGGGAAGAATGACTTGTGACAATAATATAATAGCAAGGGAAAATGAGAATATATATGCATAAACACAACTTAAACTAGCTGATAAATTAGATATTATTAGACTAATACAAGCTCCTTGGGATCAATCAATGGATTGTCACTCCTAAATTTGCGCAAATGCAGTAACTGTTTGCTAAATCTCCAATGCACTTAATTGCCCCAAAGAAACTAACCGCCCCAAAAGATAAGGAAATACCGTAATCACTGCTCAAGTTTAAAAATCGCATAAATACGCTTATGATCCTTTTTCACCGACTTTCATATCAACATCGGGATCTCTAAAGCAATCCATCACTGATCATAAACGAACCATCTCAGAGAGAGAGAGAGTAGTTACATCGTACCATAACCATGAGTCAAACAGCAACTATAACTCAGACGAGGCAGATAGATTCTGCAAAAAAACCACGTCATATCCGGGAAGAGCCGATCACGTGGACAAATTGGTATAAACATGTTAATTGGTTACAGACCTTTATATTAGGGACCACACCAATTATTGCCCTTTATGGCTTAGCTACAACACAACTCTTGCCCAAGACCGCCGTCTGGAGTTTGATTTATTACTTTGCCACTGGAACTGGTATTACAGCAGGTGAGATCAAATACGTCGAAAAATTGTTGTCATAATAGTAGCGTCATCGGAAAACACCATCGGATCAATCCGGTACTGATTCATTTTTTTTTCTAATACCTGACGAATAGGTTATCATAGGTTATGGGCGCATCGTGCATATACGGCATCCCGTCCCCTTCAATATATCCTACTTTTCGTGGCTTCAGGAGCAGTCCAAGGCTCTCTTCGGTGGTGGTGTAGAGATCACCGTGCACATCATCGCTACACTGATACTGATCGTGACCCCTACAGTGCACACAAAGGCTTGCTCTATTCTCATATCGGATGGATGATTCTAAAGCAGAATCCAAATGTGTTGGGCAAAACGGATATTTCAGACTTGAACTCTGATTGGCTGATAAGAGCTCAACACAAGTATTACGGACTATTTGCATTGTTTTGTGGAGTTCTATTTCCGACTCTCATTCCCGGTCTTGGATGGGGCGATTGGAGGGTAAGTCTGACATTCTCGACATGTTGAAATATGTAAAGTACGGGAATGGATGTGAAATCGTCTCACTGATTTTTGCTGATTAATCAATCTAGGGCGGATTCTACTACTCTGCAATACTTCGTCTCGTCGGGGTTCATCACGCCACATTCTGTGTTAACTCCCTTGCCCATTATCTTGGCGATAAACCTTTCGATGACAAACATACTCCCCGAGACCATTTCATCACTGCTGTCGTCACAATGGGTGAAGGTTACCACAACTTCCATCACGAATTTCCTCAGGATTATCGCAATGCAATTAAATTCTATCAATACGATCCTACAAAATGGTTGATTAAGTTTTGTTCAATGCTTGGACTGGCTTCCAATCTGAAAAAATTCCCCGAAAACGAAATTAAGAAGGGCCAGGTTTACATGCAACAGAAAAATTTGGATGCGATTAAAAAGACTTTGGACTGGGGTACGCCCATTGATTCTTTACCGGTTATCTCTTTTGAAGACTGTAAGTATAAAATTTGCATTGTAATCAGCTGCTTGTTGTGCATCATTTGTTGTGCAATTATTTATTCATTTCTTAACCTTTCTTCAATATAGATCAAGAGAAAGCGAAAAACAATGGCTTGGTTCTAATCGAAGGCATAGTTTACGATGTCTCTACATTTATGGACGAACACCCTGGCGGTCGTGGCGTTTTGAAAGTTGGTTTAGGTAAAGACATGACAACTGCATTTAATGGCGGTGTCTATGATCACTCAAATGCAGCGAGAAACTTGATGTCCAAATATCGTGTCGCTGTTGTAGCCGGTGGCGGCGAAGTTGAGCATCGTAAGACAAAGTAGAGTAATAATAACAATACAATAATAATGGTGGAGGATAATGGTGGTATCACCAGCAAAAAGAAATCGAGATTTATTAATTTTATGTTCATACGTTCATTTCATTCTTTTCCGTGCAAATAAATAAACGAATTGTTTTATCTGAAAATTGACAACTTCGAATATTCAAATATCTAGTTGAACGTTTACTGTTTTTTTTAAAAAATATCTTTTGATCTATGATACAAGAAGCACCAGTAAACAAATATACAAGATGGCTGATATTATACGACTTAAAGTAACCTAATGGGGATGATTTGTTTCTTGGTATCAAGGGAAAAGAAACTCAAAACTATTAACATGATATAATAAGTACGATATTATCAATTCTCTATGTGTTCTACACAACATCATTTGCTAATCTCGGCTCGAGCAAATTACATATTTGCTCAGATACGTTTTCATTCGTTGAGCGTACTGTTAATCGATATGCCTATTGAAAGAGAGGATTTTTAGACACAAATATGAGTACATATCATAGAGACAAATACGAAATCTAATCGTTCTAAAATTTTGTCCATCCTTTCTATTGTATAGAAAAGACGTTCTTGTATGCTCACCTGCGCATCCAAATTCGGCTCCAATCGCATTAAACATCCTGTCATTCCTGCTGACTTTGTATGCAATACTGCCGACCCAACAAAATTGTTAGGATTTGGATCCACGCTCTCTAACAATCCAAATCTAAACCCACTCAACATTGTGCCCACATCCGCCAACTTAATAGGCACCAATGCTTGAAATATTCTCTGTATCTCTCTCGGAGAACCTCCGATCTGTTTCCACCTGGCAAAGAACTCTGGACCACCAAGTTCGATGGGTTCCATAAACTTGGTCAGTGATATCGGAAGACGTAGAGCAACGTTATGGAGTGAGCCGGAGATGAAGGAAATACGCACGATTGGCATTGTCGTGAACGGCTTGTTGCATTCGATATGGAATAATTGTTGGATTTGAGCTTGAACCGCAATTGTTGTTGCTGCTGATTGTGGAGTTGTTATTGATAAATGTGGAACTTGTTCTATGACAGTAGTGAACGATGTGATATTTGTATTCGTCTTGTTGTTAAAGTACAATGCCAGCCGACCAACATGTCCATGGTACTCTGATTTAAGTCCTACATTAATCTGATTATCTTCATATAATACTCCTTCCGACGTATATAATAACTTTCCTAACCATTTTTCTGAGCCCGGAGTGACTGTTCCCGCAGGTATATGAGCCGAATTTGTTTGTGACGCAACAGTCGAAGCACCTATAGTTAAACTCTCCAATGTTAACAAGTCTGTAGAAGATTCATTGTTCGGTGTCGACTTGCTGTCTGTCGAGTTGCTTCGATTAGCTGACAATTGTAACCGAACAGCTTCCCGTTCCTTATTAGCTTCTTTTCCTCCAATGTGCCAGGTGCGCTTGTCCTCAGTAGCTGCATGTTGCTGTTGTAACCGGAGCAGTAGGGCAGATTCTCTTTCGGGGAATGGTGGCATCTCTTCGCATACAGTTTGTAGTATATCGTCGTTTGGCATGGTGGAAATAGCCAAATACTCGGTAGATCTCTGCTGTAACTCTGCATCTAGTACGTGTCTATAATTATGGAATACAGATACAATCTCCCCTTTAATCTCTGGGAATAGATTGACAAATTTCAAAAAAGTTGTCATCAACATCGCTTTCGTTTGTGTTGAACATAGTCCGAATTTTGAGTAAATTGCGTGGAACTGCTCAATCGGACTTCCACCTGGTATGTTAGCCACCAAATGACCAAATTCGCCTAGAATATATCCTCCAATTTTGACCAAGTTTTCATGACACGTGGGTGATCGAAGATGTTTTAATACTGTTCGTGACGCATATTCTTGCAATTCCTCATTGTTGGTAACGATCTGCACCACACGGTACCAGACCTCATTTCCCACGTGATCCCCAGCAGTGCTAATCAGTTGGAGAATGATGTCAACATACCATTGATATTCAGTCGCAAATCTCTCAGTAAGAATAGCGATTTTAAGCACCATCTCTTCCCTCAGTCCATAATCGGCAATGCTTAAATATCGCAACAATTCAGTGACTATGACCTTAGCATTACTAACATCACACATACTGAACAACAAGTCCAATCCTCGACGACGTACACTAATATCTTTATCCCTGAGTGAGAGTAGGATTGTATCTTGATGCTTCTTGATCGGTTCGAGTGAATCAACACATGCTGCCAGATGAGCCATAGTCTCTAAGCCAAGGTAGCGTACGTTTGTTTCCTTTGATGTGATGAATCGACCGAGAAGCACGGCAGCTTGATTGACTATCGACGATTCCGTGTCCAGGTGGATAGCTAGATTAATCGCTTCGAATAGGACCGCATTCTGAGCGTTGTTGTGTTGGACGTTCTTTGGAGTGTCTTGGGAGTTTTGCATAATCGTTTGCAAGACATTATGGAGTTCGTGTCTGATAGTGGTATCATCTATTCAAGCGGTCACATAAAGAGTTTACAATGAAATTATTGTTTGTACGGAGAGCTATTTCTATCATGCCTGTCTCAATACATACCTAATGGTGGGTAATATTGCAATAAACGTAGAAACTTCACTTGTAGCCAAGGTATCGGCACTTTATAGTACACGTAATCTGCAGCATATTCCTTCTTTACTACAATCTAATCAAAAAAGCAAGCATTCTAATTCAGCTGATCAGTAAGATCAAGACGATAAACGAGGTAACCTACCTTTGACAACCTTTCTACAACTTTAGCGTAACATCCCAAATAAGCTTCCAAATTATCCTGTGCCAATGCCATTATTAAACTAGTAACACACAATACAACACCCTAGTTAAATGATACACGCATTAGACTATTAATCGAATTAAAGGTACCATAAGTACAAAATTTTACACATAGTCTCGAACGTATTAATTACCAAGTCTGGCTCATCCAGCAAAGCAATCAAACGCTCTGACCAATCGACTGCTGGAATTACGTCAGGATGTTTTCTATACAATCGCAGCAGTGTCAGAGCAGCCTTCTTCTTCACAAAACTCTTTGATGCACTAAAAAAGATAAATAGATCGTCTAGTTACTATCGTATAATATCATCATGATGTCATGTCCTTCGTTGACACTATCACCATGCTACTTACGGAGATATTAGCAGTCGATGCACATCTCCATTCAAAGACTCGGCCATCTCTCTTCCTCCAATATTAGCTATTGCATGTAATGCCAAGCAATTATATATTTCATTGTATTCGTCGAGATCTTTCCTTATTGAATTGACCACCAAACGGGTCAAGTCACTATTCTCGTGCATTAACAACGTCACTGCAAGATATCCCTATGATAAACCCAAGAAACATTTGAGAATCAAGTGCGAGTATACGCGAAAGATCATAAACAACACTGAAATATGACCTACTATTTGCTTCTCGCTGTATTTATTACTAGATATTAAGTTCACAGCCTCCATATGACCAAAATCAATATCCCAACCGAGAATATACATATACAGCAATTTACAAACGTATTTCTTTTTTTGATACCCATTTAGATTGCCCTCTAAATGAGGCAAAAAAGCATAAGATTTGTTAAATTGGATGCTGGACGTAACATAACGGGTAGCAAAGTAACAAACAAACCTTTAAACTTTGCTCGTATATTCGCCATCTCTTTGTTGATTCGTTTTTCCTCCGATTCACGAACTCGACCTAAGTTTATAAAAAAGGGATTTCATTAAGAGCATATTAAATTTTTGATAACAAACTCCTTTAGCCTCTTACAGTTTCGTATGTCCGCAATGAACATAGTCAATCCGCGCATATTATTTGACATGATGGGCAGTTTATAATATAATATATATTACTGAGAATAAGCAGAAAAGTCTGTCTCGTTGTGTTTTTAAATAGTGTGAGACAATGCCTTCCTTATCTGGACATATGCAGTTTGAAATTCGCGGTCTAAAAGAATGTTTTCTCGAACCAAATTACAAGTCCTGGCAATTTCATCTTCTATTAAAAGTGAAAGAACCGCGTTCGTATGTAAAGGCACAAATATCTCTTCTTTTCTAACAAAGCTGTACAAGTAGTGTATGCTATACCGTGAATGCGTTCAATGTCACATGACTTGAATAGGCACGAACATCTTAACATACAAATTAAAGGCTCACCCGATTTCAGGTTTGGCGCTTACGTTATTAGTCTTGCATAATGACCAGATGTGTATTCAACAAATAACGCCTCCGTGTGGGTCTTAAGAACTCGGACAACTTCACTCAAGTAAAAGTTGTTTGGGAAAATGACCAATGATTTAATCAATCAACCAGTTTACAAACACAAAATCCTCGACGAAGACTACGTTGAAATTTGATTTAAAGTAGTATTTTATTTTTGCAAAGGTTCGTTTAATTTTGAAAGTATTAAGTCAATATAGGCGACAACAGCTAACGATAAATAGTTCTCAAAGTACAGGTATACAGAAACGGCATTTATAACCTGTTGACGTTGCCCAGGTCGCGGCAAGCCTCTTTCACACGATTCACCATTGATTTCTCAGCGTCACGAATGAACACACGAGGATCATAATATTTCTTATTAGGCTTATCCTCACCCTCGGGATTTCCAACTTGAGTTTGGAGATAATCCTTCTTGGCCTCGTAAAAGTTTCGTATTCCCTCCCAATAAGCCCATTGCGTATCAGTGTCAACGTTCATCTTGATAACTCCATACGAAACAGCTTCCTCAATCTCCTTCTTTACGCTACCACTACCACCGTGGAACACAAACCAGATAGGCTTCTCTTGTTGGGTGCCCAACTTTTCACGGACGTAATCTTGATGCTTCTTAAGCAAATGCGGAGACAATTTGACGTTCCCCGGTTTATACACACCATGTACATTACCAAAAGCTGCAGCAATGGTGAACAAGTCGCTGACTTGAATCAATTCACGATACACATCCCACACGTCCTCCGGTTGAGTGTAAAGTCGGTTGTTATCAACGCCAGTGTTATCGACTCCATCCTCTTCACCGCCAGTGATACCGATTTCCATTTCCAAAAGTAGATTCATTTTTGCCATGCGCTGCAAGTACGTTTTGCAGAGGGCAATATTTTCATCCTTTGGTTCTTCGGACAGATCAAGCATGTGGGAGCTGAAAAGTGGTTCATTGTGGACTTTGAAATATTCTTCATCTGCATCGAGCATGCCATCGAACCAGGGCAAAAGTTTCTTTGCGCAATGATCAGAGTGCAGCACAACGGGACTATTAAACGCATAAATTTAAGTGAATTCAATTGGGTTTCCAACAATTATAATCAAAACTGATGCTTCTATCTATACTAAATTGATCCGAACATCAATTAGATGATTTTAAAGACACTTACACTCCATAGTCTTTTGCTACAGTGCGTACATGGTGAGCCGCAGCAACAGCGCCAAGAATAGACGCACGTTGGCCATCGTTACTAAGCCCTTTACCAGCATAAAAAGCAGAGCCACCCTGAGAGAGCTGAATGATAAGAGGTGCTTTGACATCACGTGCAGCTTCTAGAGCTGCGTTGATAGTGGATGAACTTGTGCAGTTAACCGCTGGGATAGCAAACCCATGTTCCCGGGCATAGTTGAATAATTTACGCACGTTGTCACCGGTGAGAACACCAGTTGGAACGATATCGAGAACACCCATTATTAGAGTTGTGATGTTAAGTTTCGTGGGAGACGGCGGAGGCTATCGAAAAAGTTTTTTCCGTTGATTAAGATTTATGGGGAAAAGTGACAAGTGTTGTACCATGCACGATGATAATCATGTAACCAAATTTATATGCGGGGAATCCGTCTATATTTAACATCATCTATAGGATGGATTCCGGTCATATCGAGATTAAGGAGGGAATAAACGTACCTTTGAATTATGTCACGTACTAGGTTCAGGAAGACTGCTGATGTCTCTTCAGTGAATTTGATCTTCTCGCCATGTTTTTAGTCAAGTCATACATCTCTGATTTCACATTCTCTCGACATCGCTTTTCATCTTTATGTTAAACTTATCTAGTACAAAAAGATATTACAAAAAATTACAGTATGTTAGCTAATAACATATCATAACAGAACATAATATATTCTCACGAAAAAAGCTAATTTTAAGTTAAACGATCTAAAAGTTTGAAAAATCAATCCCACTTAATAGCGAATTTACATTTATTTGAAAGCACAAAAACCTGCTATTGAATACCAGAAAGTTTGCTCGCTCGTGTTGTGCTGAAAAGTTAAAGCTAAAGTTTACTTTATTATCCCGCGTCTCAATCACAATTTCCCGTGCGCGTTAGCCCTGTTCATTTCCGTTCCGTTCCGTTCCAATTTGTGCCCCTGATTGGGGGATTAAAAGTCACATATTAATAGCGACGGAATAATATGTGGAATAGAGGAACACGAAATTTGTCTTATCACTGATTTTGATTGGCTGATACAAATTTGCCGTTTATCGGAGCGGAACGGAACGGAACGAACAGGGCTATTGTACTCCGCAAATTAAAATTTGAAAAATCGAAATTTTTATAGATAAAAAACATGGAGACCCATCCAACAATACAAAGTCTAGTAATATTTTTTCTTCTCATAGCTCAACGAGGATTATTTACAGTACCTATACGTTAGACTTCTTAGTAACAGTGACTGAAAGGCAAGACTCACTGACTTTGAGCGTGGAATTGTTATAGGAGGGTATTTATTTGGTCACTCAAAGTCAACAATATTCTAGATCAAAATGACAAGAAAATTTGCACGTTTTCGAGAGAAACAGTAGTATAGACATAATGTAAATTTTTACAAGGAGTCATTGTTGGAAGTTCAGCAATAATCCACCGTTTGTAATTACATTTTATCTTCTTGTTTTCATTAGCTTTAATATTAATGGTGTACATCAAAGCTTATTATAATGGAACATTGGGAATGGCCCATGTGTTCCATTACAGCATGAATTCCATAATAACATGTATGTTTTTCAATAATGTACGCGTCATTCCGTTATATTGTGAAGTCAAACCTCGTTATACCAAAGAGGTCAGGGGACGTAAGGCAAAAAGTCCAAGAAATTTGGTTTAATATTAACAGGGTAAGGTTTGACTGTATCTCGTAAGTGAGGAACTTAGTTTCTGTCATGATATTTTATTATTATACCCAACCAATTATATGTACTCAAATCTGATCTCATTCCTATTGGTGAGCCCTATTTCCATTATAGCTGGTAACGCAAGTTTCTACTAAAAATCTATCATAACGAGCAATTTGAAAATTGGGACGGAAAATTGTTTTTTATAAAGTAATACCTTGCAATTGGATTTATTATAACGAGCTTGACTGTATATAAAGATTCATACCTGAAAAGTTGGCCGGTACCGAAGAGACAGTGTATGTAAAATGTACAAAAGTAACTGTCAGGAAGAGTATAATAACTATCGTGAGGAACTTTTATTTACAGCGGAAATTATAATAAGACTAAAACATTGGTGACGCACATTAGTTTTAGTTATATCAATGATCTATCCGCAGATACTTTTTTTGCGATGTATTACAATACTGTATTTAATATACAGTGTACACGTATTACAAAAAAAAATAACAAAACAATTTTTGATTGTTTTGCAACAACATTTGGAACTTTATACTTTATTTAACAGGTTGTTAACAGTGGTTTTATTGACATGAGTTAATAAAAAGCTTACGTTTTATGTTATCAATTCCATTAAATTAATAATAATTTTGTCAAAAATAGAATTTTATTGTAAACCGCCTAACTGCCCACAATTTTGGTCACACTTTTTCTGCATTGTTTTAGTTAACTGCATAACTTCTAAGGAGTTAAGGCTGGAACATTGACAAATACAAACCACAAATAATTGTACTGTGTATTTGTAATAGCAAAAAACTGAGGTAAGCAAAACAAATGTTTGACAGTGCAAAACGTCCACAATGGTTTGCATCAAAAAGCAAGATACATGGAAGAATGAGGTTACATATATAAATCTGAAAACTCATTAATTAATGTAAATAAGCTGTCCCATATTAATATGCCCAGAAGTCTCTGGTATTACCTATTACTATGTTATTCAATAATTTATAATAAAATGTATCATACTCTGTAACTCAATTTATTCAGACAATTACTGAGACATCAACAAGCTAATGAATTATGCTCCAAAAACGCAGTAGTAGGTAAAAATGTTTATCTCTATCTATATCAAAGGTTTTGATACATTTTTAATACTTACCCTTTTGAAAATCAGTAGATTAGACCCATTATTATTATTCAGCAATGTAAAAAAATTTAAACTTTTTGTTAATTATAATATGGTCATTACGACACATTTTACCAAATCAAAATAAACATTTTATTTAGGCAAATTCATATGTCATAATTTTGCCACTACTTTGAATAAGGTGACATATACATTACTTTTAGATTAATGTTTGCATATTTTAATTTTATTTAGCTAGGGTTATACCTCTGTGGATACAAGACAGTAAAAGTAAAATGAATCTAACATTAGAAAATCTTCATGTTCCCAGATATACAAAAAAATTAATTAATTTAGATACAACAATAAACAGAACATAAAATTTTAAATTTGATATACATACACTCGATGGTCAAAAGTTTGTATCCCAAAAGTTTCATGGCCGTTGTTTCAGAATTTTACTAAATAAGATTTAATAAAATTTATCTTTGAAAGCTCTACCTCTCATCATTATTATTATGACTATATTTTGTTAAAATTTAAAGCAAACAAAAGACTAAAATTTGCGCAATACCAACAATTTATTTAGTATGCTGAAACCAATATTTTATAAATTTAATATCCGGTTGGCCAACCATTATCAGCAATACATTCTTCAATTCTTTGAGGCACTATTACCAAATTTAACACGTATTAAACAGAAATTTGTTGCATCTTGCTTTACAAAAGTCTCCAACTTTCATAGATTAGCGACTACTTTTTTTTGCTTATAGGCATTTCTGAGTTTCCATGACGTTGTATAGTTAACAGTTTCAATGGGAAGATTGAGCAGTTTGCAAATGTTTTGCGTTGTATGACCGCCATTACGAAGACCAATAATTTATGAACACTTTTGCTACTGTTACTTCACATTTTTTGAAAAAGAAACACAAATCAACACAGTTTCGATTTTTTAATGTACAGCACAACAATAAACCCAAAAAGGAAAGTTTGTTATTAGCAAAAAATATAGAGAAGAAGTAGAACTTTCGAATAATGTAGATTTTTTAGTGAATTTCTGAAATAAAATGTCATAAAGTTTTGGATTCAAACTTTTGTCCATTGAATGTATTTAAACTTGCAATAATACTAGTAATACACGTAGTTGTTCTAAATTTACATAAGCATCAGACAATTTTTCTATAAGATGCGTAAATCGGATGCCTTTAAAATTTGCGTGTTGGACATTGATGCTTTTGGCTTCATACTTGTTAAAATGTCTATATTAAGTGTTCTTTTAACGAAAATTTCATACTGATGGAAAACTATAAAAAAACGTTGGACCATCCAAACTATACATAGTCTTCCGAAATAAGTGTTGGACTTTTTAAAATTTTTACAGTTATAAAGTAGTTTTTTGGAATATTAGTCTTTCATAATATTTAGTATTAATATAAGGCAATAAATTTCCAGGTATCTGTATGAATGCTAGTTTATCCCAATCTGCGTTCTAATTTTTGTTCTTATTTAGAAAGCAACTGTACCATTAACCACCCACCACCACTCCTTACTGAAGAAACAACGTTTTCAACGTGGACGCGTGTTCCAGGAGTTTCCCAAATCTATCCGTTCTAAATAATCGTTTACTTTCAGTCAATTCTGGAATTTTTAAGCATTTTTATAAAGAATTCAAGACGATTAATTGTAGTTTTGGATATGTGAACTTTTTTGTTTGGTAAATAATTAACAATCAACATAGATAACGCGTAGCTTACTACTTATATTTACAAAATGCTAGGCTACAACACGCAAAGATGTGGTGACAAATTACTATTAGTTAAGGGACATGTCCCCCTCCGATGTTGTACTTAGTAATTTTTCTTGTGCAACACGTGATCGTAAGATTTC